CCCATGTTATGATTTCTCTGTCCCTCCCCCATGTTATGATTTCTCTGTCCCTCCCTCATGGTATGATTTCTCTGTCCCTCCCCCGTGGTATGATGTCTCTGTCCCTCCCCCATGTTATGATTTCTCTGTCCCTTCCCCATGGTATGATTTCTGTCCCTCCCCCATGGCATGATTTCTCTGTCCCTCCCCCATGGCATGATTTCTCTGTCCCTCCCCCATGGTATGATTTCTCTGTCCCTCCCCCATGGTATGATTTCTCTGTCCCTCCCCCATGGGGTAGTCCTGGTCACTACTGGGAATATAGGGAGACCATGCATACACAGATCATAAATATAACATTAAGATGTTTAACTGCAGTCAAATTTTCATATTGCAATTCGTTTGATTTAAATGAAACTCTTCTTTTATAATAATATTACTATAACAGTCAGCAGCTTAAAATTCCACAGCAAAAATTTGACACTGAAGTAAAATTTCTTCTCATACATGAATTATACTTACTGAAGCGGACATGGTTGCATCCCTTGACCACCGATAGATGATGGTATTAAGTAGCATGTAGCAGTTACAGGCTACCATAAACACTATGAAGATCTTCTCATGGAGGGCTGCAAATAACAAAGGTTATAAAAGCTTCACCAAACACTATGATTTGAAAATAGAAAACTCCATTCCAGAATAATATTCTAACAAAAACATTACCATCTTTGTCTGTTTCTTATTGCTTCCTGGAATCAAATTCTGATAATCCCATCTAATTCCACTGACTGTCATTCCTATTCCATTTAAGTTCCCTCTTGCAAAAGAAATCAACTTTCCCTCAATACTTCTGATATGGGCACAATGTGCCAAGCCTGATTTAAAATGCTGCAATTTGCCCCTTACCCAAGGCAGCAGTGTATCAGGCTTAATATAATTTAGCCACAATGTAAAAGGTCCTTCAACCTAGCCTATATGTGCTTGGCCTATTGACAACCTAGCCCTATATGTGCTGGGCATATTGACAACCTACCCCTATATGTATTGGGCCTAACGACAACCTAGCCCTATATGTGCTGGGCCTATTGACAACCTAGCCCTATATGTGTTGGACCTATTGACAACCTAGCCTATATGTGCTGGGCGTATTGACAACCTAGCCCTATATGTGTTGGACCTATTGACAACCTAGCCCTATATGTGCTGGGCGTATTGACAACCCAGCCCTATATGTGCTGGGCCTATTGACAACCTAGCCCTATATGTGCTGGGCCTATTGACAACCTAGCCCTATATGTGCTGGGCCTATTGACAACCTAGCCCTATATGTGCTGGGCCTATTGACAACCTAGCCCTATATGTGCTGGGCCTATTGACAACCTAGCCCTATATGTGCTGGGCCTATTGACAACCTAGCCCTATATGTGCTGGGCCTATTGACAACCTAGCCCTATATGTGCTGGGCCTATTGACAACCTAGCCCTATATGTGCTGGGCCTATTGACAACCTAGCCCTATATGTGCTGGGCCTATTGACAACCTAGCCCTATATGTGCTGGGCCTATTGACAACCTAGCCCTATATGTGCTGGACCTATTGACAACCTAGCCCTATATGTGTTGGATCTATTGACAACCTAGCCTATATGTGCTGGGCATATTGACAACCTAGCCCTATATGTGTTGGACCTATTGACAACCTAGCCTATATGTGCTGGGCGTATTGACAACCCAGCCCTATATGTGCTGGGCCTATTGACAACCTAGCCCTATATGTGCTGGGCCTATTGACAACCTAGCCCTATATGTGCTGGGCCTATTGACAACCTAGCCCTATATGTGTTGGACCTATTGACAACCTAGCCCTATATGTGCTGGGCTTATTGACATGGTTGCAGCAAAACGACAATTGTCAATAAAGTAGAACAGAGGATAAACTTAGCCACAGTTTTGTGAACCCCTTAAACTTAGCCACAGTGTGCAGGGCCTATACCATTAACAAAGCCACAGGATATATTTACCAGTCCTATTGACACACTTAGACACACTACGCCTGGCCAAATAACATGGCTGCAGTGTGTCCTTATCAGGCCTATTTACAAAGCCTTTATGTACATGTGCCAAGTATGATCACACAGCTGAAGGTACCAGGCCTATTACCATCGAAACAATGAGCTAGGCAAACAATATCATGACCACAGATCTAGAGTAATGGGTCCATAACTCTAATGATGACTGCAATACAATGAGCCTAACAACACATGGCCACAGTGTTCTGGGTCTAGATCTATTACCATAGCACCAGTAAGTTGGAACTACTAACATGGCCACAGAGTTCTGGGTCTATTACCATAGCACCAGTAAGCTGGAACTACTAACATGGCCACTGTGTTCTGGGTTTATTACCATAGCCACAGTAAGCTGGAACTACTAACATGGCCACAGTGTTCTGGGTCTATTACCATAGCACCAGTAGGCTGGAACTACTAACATGGCCACAGTGTTCTGGGTCTATTACCATAGCACCAGTAGGCTGGAACTACTAACATGGCCACTGTGTTCTGGGTCTATTACCATAGCACCAGTAAGCTGGAACTACTAACATGGCCACTGTGTTCTGGGTCTATTACCATAGCACCAGTAAGCTGGAACTACTAACATGGCCACAGTGTTCTGGGTCTATTACCATAGCACCAGTAAGCTGGAACTACTAACATGGCCACAGTGTTCTGGGTCTATTACCATAGCACCAGTAAGCTGGAACTACTAACATGGCCACAGTGTTCTGGGTCTATTACCATAGCACCAGTAAGCTGGAACTACTAACATGGCCACAGTGTTCTGGGTCTATTACCATAGCACCAGTAAGCTGGAACTACTAACATGGCCACAGTGTTCTGGGTCTATTACCATAGCACCAGTAAGCTGGAACTACTAACATGGCCACAGTGTTCTGGGTCTATTACCATAGCACCAGTAAGCTGGAACTACTAACATGGCCACAGTGTTCTGGGTCTATTACCATAGCACCAGTAAGCTGGAACTACTAACATGGCCACAGTGTTCTGGGTCTATTACCATAGCACCAGTAAGCTGGAACTACTAACATGGCCACAGTGTTCTGGGTCTATTACCATAGCACCAGTAAGCTGGAACTACTAACATGGCCACAGTGTTCTGGGTCTATTACCATAGCACCAGTAAGCTGGAACTACTAACATGGCCACAGTGTTCTGGGTCTATTACCATAGCACCAGTAAGCTGGAACTACTAACATGGCCACAGTGTTCTGGGTCTATTACCATAGCACCAGTAAGCTGGAACTACTAACATGGCCACAGTGTTCTGGGTCTATTACCATAGCACCAGTAAGCTGGAACTACTAACATGGCCACAGTGTTCTGGGTCTATTACCATAGCACCAGTAAGCTGGAACTACTAACATGGCCACAGTGTTCTGGGTCTATTACCATAGCACCAGTAAGCTGGAACTACTAACATGGCCACTGTGTTCTGGGTCTATCACCATAGCACCAGTAGGCTGGAACTACTAACATGGCCACAGAGTTCTGGGTGTATTACCATAGCACCAGTAAGCTGGAACTACTAACATGGCCACTGTGTTCTGGGTCTATTACCATAGGAACAGTAAGCTGGAACTACTAACATGGCCACAGTGTTCTGGGTGTATTACCATAGCACCAGTAAGCTGGAACTACCAACATGGCCACCGTGTTCTGGGTCTATTACCATATCACCAGTAAGCTGGAACTACTAACATGGCCACCGTGTTTTGGGTCTATTACCATAGCACCAGCAAGCTGGAACTACTAACATGGCCACTGTGTTCTGGGTCTATTACCATAGCACCAGTAGGCTGGAACTACTAACAAGGCCACAGTGTTCTGGGTCTATTACCATAGCACCAGTAAGTTGGAACTACTAACATGGCCACAGAGTTCTGGGTCTATTACCATAGCACCAGTAAGCTGGAACTACTAACATGGCCACAGGGTTCTGGGGCTATTACCATAGCACCAGTAAGCTGGAACTACTAACAAGGCCACAATGTTAGGGTAAGGGTCTATTATGTATACCATAACCACAATGTGCTTGGCCTCAATCACACAGGTCGTAGGTTCTGGGTCTATTTTCTTTGCCACAATGTACAGAGCAGCTAATGAAATGGCTGCAGTGTGCCAGGCCTATTAACATAGGTCAGTGTGCCAGGCCTATTAACATAGCAGTTGGCAGAGTCTATTAACATAGGTCAGTGTGCCAGCCTTATGCCCTTATCATTGGTATTAATGGTAACAGATTTATGAGCATTAATCAGAAGTAAGATAAGCATCATTTAAGATATGAAAGGACTGAAATGATAGATGTGAAAACTAAACAAGAGGCCCATAGGCCTTAACGGTCACCTGATATATTTATACAGAGAGTTTTTAACACGAACAGAAATATTATTCAAAGTGACAAAAAACAATAAAACCACCTTTGGCTCAAAATTTTCATAGTATCAAACTGTCAACTCAGGGTTATAATTCCAATCAAGTTATTAACATGTAATATTCAAAGTATCATTTGCCATTATAAACCATAATAAATTTTGCCCCCCCCCCCCTCCTTCCCCAGGGGGTAAACTTGAGACCCTAGGGCCATAAACGTTAAGACCCTTCCATCTATGAATAGTGTTTGATTCTACCATATCTGGGTCTTTGAGAAGAAGATTTTAGAAATTTCAGTCAATTCAACCATTTTTGGCCCCACCCATTAGCCCCGGCCGGGGGTTCAGTCAGGGCTTTTATGTGCATACTATCAAACTGCTACCCAATACTGATAATGCTAACCTCAATTGAATTAACTCCAATGGAAATTAAACAAATGTTGGTCCAAAATGTGATTTCCCTATATAAACTATAGTAAAGTTTACCCCCTCCCCAGAGGGAAACGTGAGACCCCAGGGTCATAAAATTCACAATTTTGGTAGAGCACCTTCAGACCCTTCCATCTATGAAGAGTGTTTGATTCTACCATATCTGGGTCTTGAGAAGAAGTTTTTTAAATTTCAGTCAATTCGACCCTTTTTGGTCCCACCAATCAGCCCCGGGGGGTCAGTCAGGGCTTTTATGTGCATACTATCAAACTGCTACCCAATACTGATAATGCTAACCTAAATTGAATTAACTCCAATGGCAATTAAACAAATGTTAGTCCAAAATGTGGTTTCCCTATATAAACTATAGTAAAGTTTACCCCCTCCCCAGGGGGAAATGTGAGACCCAAGGGTCATGAAATTCACAATTTTGGTAAAACACTTTAAGACCCTTCCATCTATGAAGAGTGTTTGATTCTACCATATCTGGGTCTTGAGAAGAAGTTTTTTAAATTTCAGTCAATTCAACCCTTTTTGGCCCCACCCATCAGCCCCTGGGGGTCAGTCAGGGCTCATATGTGCATACTATCAAACTGCTACCCAATACTGATAATGCTAACCTAAATTGAATTACTTCCAATGGAAATTAAACAAATGTTGGTCCAAAATGTGATTTCCCTATATAAACTATAGTAAAGTTTACCCCCTCCCCAGGGGGAAACGTGAGATCCCAGGGTCAAGAAATTCACAATTTTGGTAAAGCACCTTAAGATCCTTCCATCTATGAAGAGTATTTGATTCTACCATATCTTGGTCTTGAGAAGAAGATTTTTGAAATTTCAGTCAATTTGACCCTTTTAGGCCCCACCCCTCAGGCCCCTGGGGGCAGGGGACCAAACCGGCCACTATTTTTGTTGACCTTTGGCCATGGAAGGTTTCTGCAGAATTTCATTGAAATTCATGTTCCGGGTTTTGGAGAAGAAGTCGAAAATGTAAATTGTTTACGGACGCACGACGGACGACGGATGACGCCGGACAAAAGGCAATCGCAATATAGGTCACTTGAGTCTTTGTCTCAGGTGACCTAAAAAGATTAACAAGAGCTGTAGGAGAACAGCATAGCTCATCTATTATAATTATTTTTGTAAAATGTGCTAATAGAATTTGGGCCATTACATGATATCCCATCTTAGATAATAGATCAGGAAATTAGAACTACATTGTTGATGGCAAACTCCTGCTATCCCCCACAAAGTAACCCCTAACACCCTCCCTAATACCCTCGATTACCATATATGCAAAAATAAATTACTGTAAAATGTAGAAGTCATGGTTACGTTTGATTTGATATGCTTAAAGACTATATCAAAAAAACATTGACCACCATGACTCCACTTCTCTGGCCCAGTCCCTAGGGGTCATATCAAAATTCTGAAAGTTTAGTGCACTTCCCCATACATATATCTACCCTGTCTAAAAGTTTCAAGTTCCTGCTTCAAACAGTGTAGTAAAAGAAGTTATTTTACCCCTTATCCCTCAAGTACCCCCCCC